GCGCAAAGGGTTGGCGCATCATCCTTCATCACTGGGACTGGAGGACCATCCCATACTTGCCTCCTGTTCAGCATCTGGCGCTGATTCCACATGGCGTCCAGCCAGGAGTCGATCTCGTTTGATCGGGAGGCCTATTTTCGAACGTACGCGGACTGAATCTGTGGGAAATGCCCAACGTGGCATTGCGTTGGCCAAACCTTGGAGTTGCAGATTTGTCGACTTTTGGTCCACTGCCTCAACATCAACAAGACCGAAGACTCAAACCCAATAGGTCGCCAGCGCCAAGCAAGGAAGGAAGGAAGCAGCGAATACAATTTAAAGGAGGAAGGTGCCATTCCAAGGTGGCAGACGAAGCGATTTTTTTGAAACGACCAAACGGTTGTTTTCAAAACGACAAAAAACAGTTGTTTTGGGCTCCAGGTATGTTAACATCTTGACGTGCAAGCACTGCGACTTTTTTGGGCATCAACAAGCTCAGGAGACACCACTTTCCCCAATGTTCCACTTGACCACCGGTCAAGAAACGCCAGGGTGATCCCAGTTGGGAGCCTCAACTCACCGGCTGAGAAGAGGGAAACGTTTGAACATGGATCTCGCTGAATTCTCCAAACTCCAATGTGCGCTTTTGTCGGGATTCTTGAATTGTGCTTGAACGTGCGTCGTTGCCCCAAGATTTGCATTTTGTAGCCAATCTTGGACATGTTTCGTAGCCATCCATCCCATCCACCATTCAGGAGCGACGGGTGTGCTCATCATGTTTGATTCTGGCCCGCCTTCCAGGGGACTTTTTGGTCCCACCTGATCAGAAGAAGGTGCCAAGACCTCCCAAACGCTCTTTGGAAGAAGGAAAGCAGACCACAACCCATGGGTTGGTTGCCCCTTTATTGACAGACACACACCCGTATGGTCATCCTAGTTTATCCTGCAGTAAATTCAGCTATGGGCAAAGTCCCAAAGGCATCCAAATTTCCGCAACATATTATCGGCGTTGTCAGGTGACATTGGTGTTTGATATTCTACATTTGCCCCGGCCCACCAATGAATAGCTAAGGGTAATGCTCAATTGCTCAACTGCAACTTGCAGCTAGAGGTGGGGCCCACTTTGCAGATGTCCCACGAAGATCACTTTAACTTTGGCACCATGTTTCTTGCACACGACTCGTGTGTGTCCCATGTGTCGAACATTTGCTGCCAAACTGTCTCAGGTTGAGATGGCTAGCCAATGTTTTTTCCCCAAACAGTGTTGAGGCTTGTAGACACACTATACACTGTTTGGGGCCTCTTTCCGGGATTGTGTTTTCGTCGATGTTTTGCCAAGCCCCCGAACTCGTGCCTCGACTACCTCCGAGGTTTGGAATCAGATGACCATGAGCTCGAAGAGGAGATCAGCGCTCAGGCCACGCGACAAGCGAGGGACCCGGTGGTTGTTTGACGTGATGTCGTCACATGGGTTTGGCCCTTCACAGTTTGGGAGATGGTGGGAAGAATCGCAACATGCCAGGTGGCCGTGCACAAGTTAAGTAGCAAATGGCAGCAACAGTTTCAATGGAGTGGTTTTGAATCCCTATAGGCGGTGTGAAATTATGGGCACACTGTCCTCCAAAAGACACCCCTTTGAAACTGGGTATCTTGCCATATGTGTCACCAGGAGATTTGCTGAATACATGGTTGATCAGTCCTGCAGATGCTAATCCTACGCACTCTGTAGAGTCGCTGGTCTTTGGGCAGAGACCCCACATGTTCGTTCCAAGTCTTTGCCCAGGAGACTGAGCAATGATCGCTTGACCTTCGAGCGCCGCTTTGAAGGAAAAAAGTGGACCGGAGACGCGCAAGAACGAGAGATTGATCTACTGAGTCTCCTGTATTTGCCGCAAGAATTGTGCGTTTGGTGTTTGGGCACTTGCACACGCATAGCGTTTTCAACCCGTGTGCAAAGTATTCTTTTTACTTGCGCACTGCTGGATGCAAATGCGTAGTATGGGAAATGACCCCACAGCATTTGAGGCTGAGGTCAGTTTTTCTCCCAGCAGTACTTGCCTCAGACCCCTCTCAGTCAACCGGATGTTCGTCACAACACCCATTGGAACAACTAGCATGAGCATACCTTCTCCTTCCTATCTCATTTCAATGTCATTGTGTTTTTGGCAGTTTTGTGATGTCTTTCACTTTTTGTGTTCTCAACATTGCTCAACTAAGTGCTTCCTTCGCTGGGATCTCAATCCCAAGGGTGAAGGCAAGCCACACCAGCGCACGACCTTTTGCCGAGTTCTTTGCACGACCTCCGAGATGCTCGGTGTGATGCCATCCGCCGCGCCGCGCACTTCTGTTCTTGGCATCAGCCACCCCGAAGGGGGCCAGGCGTGCGAATTGCCCGACGGATCGTTCGGGGCCTGAGGAAGCAAGTCAAGACCTAGGATTCGAGCCACCATGGTCTTCATGGGCTTTACCGAACAATCACTGTGGTACTAAGGATTTTAAACAACAACAACAACAACAACACCAACAGCAACAGCAACAGCAACAGCAACAGCAGCAGCAGCAGCAACAGCAACAGCAACAGCAACAGCAACAACAACAACAGCAGCAACAACAGCAACAACAGCAACAACAGGTCAACCGTCAACCTGTTTTTTGTCTTTAAAGGCTCGGGAAGAGATGAGTGAGTCAGATGAGTCAATCTTAAACGCGTTGAGAGTAGGCTTAAATTTCAATGTCCTGCCGGATATCATCGGATATCTAAGGGCTTACTTTGTTCATGTTTCCTGAAGGACATGGTGCCTTCAGCTGAACCCATCATGGTTTTTCTTTTTTTTCCATGGACCCATCCATCATCCGCCAACAAAAGCAGGCGGACCAACCAAGTTTTGGCGGGCGCCGACCCAGCCCGCCGTTCCCACCCAGAAGGAGACGTTGGTTCCTTTCGGGTCGGCCATGGAGACCGCCGAGCGGAGCGTCTCGCCGCTCCGCGAGCCGCTCCACGACGCGTCGCGGGTGCTGCAGCTGGGCGATCGCGTGAGCTGCATCCTGACGCCTGGCCGCGATCCTCATCGCGCGAGACGTCGGGCGTGCGTTCGGTGCCATTCGCTGCGGAAACGACGGGCTCCCGGGGTTCTTGCCCTACAGATCCCTATAGGGATCCAGTCATACCTGGTCCGGTACGACTGGATCCTCTTGGCACCAACAGTGTCTCCATTCACCTTCTCAGAGGGTATGTGGATCGCTAGGGTTGGAGTGGCTGCTCTTCTTACGAAACATGCAAACCTGGCGCCTCCACAATGTGTGCAGTGAATTGTGGCTGCTTTTGCCTCATGTGAACTGGCCTGAATGTGTTGTGCCCATTGGTTGCTCGTTTTGCAAGACATGCCGGTGCCTTCAAACGTGCAAAAGTAGAGTTTCGATATGTTTCGATGCAGTGTGTATACAGTGCCTTGTGCAAAATGCTAGTTCATTGCACCTGTGCTGAATGTGCTGTGCCCGGGTTTTGCTTCTGCTATACCTTTTGGTACCCTGCCCTGCCTTTCGTATATTGTGCCCAGACCTCACTCAATATAATTTGTTTTTTGAGCTACGTTGAGGGAAAAATAACAGGAGGTTCTAGACATGTCTAGAACTGTTTTGCAATCCTAACCAGACCTACCCAGACACTCCGTGGGACTGGCATAGATACAAAATGCTACAAATGTCATTTATACATCCATTGTGCTTGTTAGTTTTCAAGGCTGAATGTGTATTTTGTCCAATATGTGCCATTCCACGTTGGACGCTTCCCCCACCTCCAGTCGCGCCTTATGAGCTGACGCAGAGGAACGGCTTGGAGGGCACCGTCCGCTTCTTGGGTGCGACCTACTTCGCCTCAGGCGCGGCCGAGCGGGTGCGCGGCGTGTGGACGGCGCGCGCGGCGAAGCGCGTAGGCAGAAGTGAGTCAAACGAGGGGCGAACGGAGGGGTTCAAGATGGTGCGCGTGATGGGGTGGAAGTGCGCAGATACGTCTGAAAACTGTGGTTGGAGAATGTGTATAGAGATGCCTGTGGGAAATGCTGGGAACCATGTAGGCTGAGATGATCTAAGAAACTACGAGCTGTCGCCGTTCCATGACCATATCTTTAGACGGGGGTGTAGACAAGCGTCATGGTTCCCTGGGTGACTTTGAATACGTCCCCGGACGGAGGCAACCAACTGCAGATGGCTTTAGCATGTCTTGAAGCCTCCTGGATCCCAGACCTGTGGAGACCTGCTTTGATGTGAACCCCTTTGCAATGACACAATTCTGAACCCACCCGGACCCATGATCCAAAGTCCTCATACAGACATGTTGATACGCGATTCTGCGCTTAGTGACCAACAATGATCTCAAAAGTGACCAACAGACCGACTGTCGCAAGCATGTTCCAGAAGTGCAAGGAGTTGTGTAAGACAACACCTAGCTGCACCTCGGCTTCCTCTTATGATGACGAAGCAATGGGCATCGGTAGCTTCAAGACAACAGTGTGACCGACTGATACAGTAGAACCGCAGTCAGAACCCTTCCTTTTCCACACGCCCAACTACCTCTACCAAATGCCTACTGTCAAACGAAATCGCAGAGGGCATACGAGTCATAAGTCACAAATTATGTTGTTTGGTCCGGTCTTTAGTTGTCCTTCCGGGTACTCGTACCGGGAGTATCTCCACAGGCCCCCCCAAAAAAAAGGTTGCAGAATGTTTGAACCACCTTCTCAACAAGCAGCTCACTCACCAGCGGCGGTGGTACGTACTGCAGCTCGTTCCGTGGACCCCGACAGCACCGCTTCGTTGGGGGCCGCGGAAGATGGCCCGTTTTGCGGTGCCACAAAACACCGAGGAAAGGCCTAGAACATGGATACTGTAGAACGTAGAAGGACGAAGGTTTCCGTAAGCGAAGACAAGTGAATAACGAAGTCATCCTTTCATTCATAGTAGCAGCACGTGAGCAACCATGCTTAGCCGATGATTCGATCGATTCCTTAGATGCTTAGCCGTGGTTAGGACCTGCTTGTCTTAGATCCAGACATGTTGAAACAAATCAAGTGCAGATGACCATGCAGCGCTGGGATAATTGAGCGTTTTATGTCACTGACAACAACCAGCAACCAGATATGATTGATATGATCATACATGAATGTAAATCCACTTCAGCACCCCTTACACCAGCATCAGCATGGTGGTAAAAGTCCCTGGCAAAAGTCCCTGGCCACATTGTTTCTTTTACTGCTCGGATCTCTCCAAAGAAAAATCATGGCTTTTCTTGCCTCGCTTCTCCAAGTGAGCCCGGCTCGCCCTCGTGGTCGGTGTCCGGCGTCCCGCACTGCGACGCGCGCCAGGGCCTTGGATCGGCATCGACCTCGATGCGGCCGAGGGCAAGAACGACGGCACCGTGCAAGGCGAGGCTTCTGGAGACGTTCGGGCCAGCGGAACCAAGGGATTTCCTTGGGTCTCTCTGCTTGGAGAGGATGAAGACAAATGTGTCGGAGGGTGTGAGGAAGGACAAAGTGGGGAGAGGTGGGGGAAGATGAAGTGGCATTCACTTGGGGTGACCTGGTGACCTGATGCATATATATTATATATATATAATAACTAGTATAATAACTTACAATACTGGGGCGCACTTAAAGATGTCAAAATGTAATTCCTGCATTTAAAAATAATTGCTGCTGGGACCGCAGCTCGGAAGTACTCAATGATGAATCCAATAAAATCAATAAATAACATTAAAACCCGAATAGAAAAGGTGGGTTAACCTGCCCATGGGAGAAGGGTAAAGGAAAGGAGACCCTCACGCAGCCAAACCGGAGATCTGTCATGCAGCCAAACGGTCCTGTAGCCGTAAAGTTCACTTCTGGTTGTTAAATGAACAATCGGTCAGGCAGCCAGGCTTCACGCCCCTCTCTCTCCTACTCTCTCCTTTGATAGTGGACCATCTCCCCCAATTCGAACTTAGAATTGAAAATAATTCACCTTTTCAAAAAGTTTCATACCTGCACTTAAGGAAATCACCTCACTAGTGACAGGGCTTGGTATGCCCTCCCCTTAGTGCAGTCGGTAGCGCTACCGACTGCAGTAAGCCTCCATGTGATTTCCTTAAGTGCAGGTGAAAATAATTCAGGGATAGCGCTACCGACCTCGCTAAGGGGGGGGTATGGCACGCCCTCCCCTTACTGCACTGATTTCCTTAAGCGCAGCTGCATTTTGAAAATAAATAGTTTCAATCAGGGTGACCAGCAAGAAAAAAACATGTCATCCGCCGAAAGTCCAAACAGGGGTCAGAGACTTGATTGTCCACATGTTCTAGAGAATCATATCCTTGCTTGAATGTGTAGACAGAGATTCAATGGCAGCACTGCTGCTGTAATTTTGTACGGATGGTACTAAAGAGCACATGCTTGTTCTATGCCCTACCGAATCACAACGGGTCCTAAAGACAGAAAGCTGTGACTTCACGGGGTGCCCTATGTTTGGGGGGTTCAAGCCAGACATCCCAGCCTTCTCCCCAACTCATGGGGAGATTTGAAACATGTCAAAAATAAGGGAAGTGATTTTTTGACTTTGTTAAGTGCAGGGCAGAATATATACAACCACGACGAAGCCAAATTTCATGGTTTTGTGCCGACAGAACTGGGCCCATTCCTTGCACATGGCAATGTGCTTTTTTGGATAGCATGGCTGGTCAGCAAGTACATTGCATGTTGCAATGCCTTTGCATGCACTGACAAAATTTCAGGAGTGGCCCCGCTCATGGCTGGGATGGACAGGCCGGTCCAGAAAGCGTTGGTATTTACAGGAGAGGCGCTGGCCATG